TTGTGCATCTGCTGCAGCGCATGCAGCAGCAACAGCAGCAAACTGCTGCTGCTGTGCTGCGTCAACGAAGACACGGCGACGACGGCCCCAGTCGCTGCTGCAGCTGCTGCAGCACGTAGAGGATGTCTCCAGCAGCTGCCACCCACTGGCTCGCAGCAGCCTGACAGCAGCAGCAGCAGCAGCAGCAGCAGCAGCAGCAGCAGCAGCAAAGGACATATAGGGACGGGGAGAAACACCAGATGAGATACAAAAGAGAGGAGGCATGAGAGATGCAGGAGACATACTGCAGCAGCAGCAGCAGCAGCAGCAGCAGCAGCAACAGCAGCAGCAAAAGAAGCAACAGCAGCAGCAGCAGCAGCAAGGTGAACATACTCGACCTCCAGCTCCCCTCCAACGAGTTTCTTGCTGCTGCTGTCTGCATGCGCATGCAGCAGCGTCAAGGAGTTGCAGCAGCCAGCAGCAGCACGACACAGCTGCGCCAAGCTGTCTGTACACCCCAGCAACCCCACACAGCAGCACCAGCTAACAAACATCACAACACACCACCCTCAGCAGCAGCAGCAGCAGCAGCAGCAACGGCAGCAGCAGCAACAGCAGCAGCGCCACAAGCAGCAACAGCACAAGCAGCAACAGCACCAGCATCACCAGCAGCAACAGCAGCACAAGTAGCAGCAACAGCAGCAGCAACAGCAGCACAAGTAGCAGCAACAGCAGCAGCAGCAACAGCAGCAGCAGCAACAGCAGCAACAGCAGCAGCAACAGCAGCAGCAGCAGCAGCAGCAGAATTCTTGCCTGTGGTGCTAGCTGTTTGTGTGGCGAGTGTTTGCATATCTAACACAGAAGAACCAAACTCTGCATGCGGGTCCACGGGGGCCGGCACTATGCCTGTATAGAAACAGCAGCAGCAGCAGCAGCAGCAGCAGCAGCAGCAGCAACAGCAGCAGCAGCAGCAGCAGCAGCAACAGCAGCAGCAGCAGCAACAGCAGCAGCAAAAGAAGCAACGGTAAGAGGGGCAGTGATGGTACTGTTGATTGCTGCTGTTTATATTTGTTTCTTTTCTCTTGACTCTCCCACCTTCTCTGCTGCTGCTGTTGCTGCTGCTGCTGCTGTTGCTGCTGCTGCTGCTGCAGTGGCAGTATTTGCTGCTGCATTTGCTGCTGCTGCATCAATTTATGTTTCTCTTTGGTGCTGCCCAGCAGCAGCAGCAGCAACAGCACCAACAGCAGCAGCAGCAGCAGCAACAACAACACCAACAGCAGCAGCAGCAGCAGCAACAACACCAACAACAATAACAACACCAACAACAACAACAGCAGCAGC